TGGTGGGGGCTGGGTGGCCTGAGGCCTAGTGGCCTTGGCCCTGGCCCCTCATGCCCCACCTCAATCCTGTCCAGGTCTCTCTGAAGGCACCGGAAGCTACTGTGACCCTCCCGGTCTTCATTGGCAATATTGCTGTGAACCACGCGCCACTGAGCCCCCGGCCAGGTCCAGGGCTGCCTCCCTGGGCCCCACCCCTGGTGGTGCCTTCTGCACCACCCCAGGAGGAGGCCGAGGCTGCGGCTGGCGGCCCCCACTTCTTGGACCCGGTCTCCCTCTCCACCAAGAGCCATTCGCAGCAGCAGCCCCTGCTGGCCACCTTGGGTTCTGTGCCTGGTGCCCCCGAGCCCTGTCCTCAGGATGGCAGCCCTGCCTCATATCCGCTGCGGCCTCCCTTGTGCATTTCAACAGGTGCCACTGTCCCCTACTTTGCAGAGGGCTCTGGGGGGCCAGTGCCTACCACCAGCACCTTGATTCTTCCTCCAGAGTACAGCTCTTGGGGCTACCCCTATGGTGAGTCAAGGGCCAGGGCTTGGCAGGGAGGGGATGCCAGGAGCCCCATGCAGACCCTGCTTTCTCCCCGCAGAGGCCCCACCGTCCTATGAGCAGAGCTGCGGCGGCGTGGACCCCAGCCTGACCCCTGAGAGCTGACCCCGTGCTGCCTTCTCCAGGCAGGCCTGGCCTCTGCCCTGGGACTGGGGCGCCCAGGGCCTCGTGCCTTCTCTCTCGGCCTGGCCTGACCCACTCAGGACCTGCCCAGCCTCTGCCAGCTCCTCTGGCGTCCACCCTCTTCTCCCTGGGGCTGGGGTGGGGATGGCAGGGAGCTGGGACCTGGAGAGACTCCTGTAAATAAAACGCTGTATTTGTAGAGCTGGGCCTCACCGGCCTCGCCTTGGGCACCCTCCAGCCTCCAGCAAGGCCTGACCCTGACCCCATCCTGGGCTCTGCTCCTGCCAGGGCATAGCCCGCTCCTCGGGTACCCCTGCTACCCTGGGGTTGCGCTCAGGCTGGTTCCCTTTAACAGAGGACGGGGGCTGGCGCTGGGCCTTCCAGAGCCACCTAAGGAAACGTCCTTGGAGCCTGGCTCACGAACTGGGGCTCACGCAACCTTGGCATCTGGTTAAATTTGTGCCTCGGCTCCTGCTGTGTTTAGGCACCCAGGTTCCCAGGCGGCGTGGTGTGGACTTCCCCTGCTGAGAAACCTGTGGGCACGTGGAGGGCTTGCCTCGGCCCCTACTGGCATCATTGCTAGGCCTGGCTCTGAGGGACGCTGCTTCTCTCCTGCCCACATCTCCAAGCCCTGAGAGGCAGGGTTCTGTGGAGCAGCGTTCCCAAAGGGGCCCCCAGGGAGGCCCTGTAAAGCTGGCCAGCCTGCCTGGAGCGCGCTTCCAGAAACAGCGGAGATGGTGGTGAAGGACGACTCTGGGTTCAAATTCCAGCTCTGTAGGACGAAGAGGTGGCTGTGTAGGTTTGTCAGTTACCTTATCTATAAAATGCACAGGACCAGGCCGGCACGGTGGCTCCCGCCTGTAATCCCAGTACTTTGGGAGGCTAAGGCAGGCAGATTGCTTGAGGTCAGGAGTTTCAAATCAGCCTGGGCAACATAATGAAACTCTGTCTGTA